CTCCTCGGCATTCCCGTCTATGGAATTAAAATTAACTGAGGCAGTGGTCCTTAAAAGTTACATGTGATTTCCATAAAATTATCCATTGTATATTGCCCTGGGGTGGAGAAAGAAGGTTGCATAGGATTGCCAAACCCGACAGGGTTTGCCAAACCTCCTATGTTTGCTTTCTGATGAGGGTGATGGTGATGATTACTCTTTGCTAAGAATGAATTCATTTTTTTCCCCAAATAATTGGCGGTCTTGGACTTACTTTTTTCTAGGGAAATAATAACTTAGACAGCCACCCCCTTTCTCTTCTAAGTCCTGCTTTCTAAAAGGAAAAAAAAAGAAAGCAAGAAAGAAAGAGAGACAGCTAGTATTCTGGGCTTAAAAACACCACATTCTCCGTTATTGGTGCTTGAATAAATTTGCATGTTAACATGAATGGCTCCAACTTAAAGAATGTAAAATTAAATGAAATTTTAATTCGAATCCAAGACGGAGAAAAGACACGTGTAAAAACAACAGATTGTCGATCTCGTTGAATTTTTTCAGGAACCAGATTAGGAAAGACATCAACACACACACACACACACACACACACACACACACACACACACACACACACTCTTGGTTTCAAAAAAGGGTGGCACTCAGAGGAGACCGGCGGTGCCAAAGAGAAGCCCCCCCCCGCCACCTCACAGGCACTGCGAGTATTTACAGATCACAGCACAGATCCTGAAGCTCTGTTTCCATGTCTGAATGCCACCATAACACTCAGAAATACGACTCACAATCACCTCCGTACTTTGGAGGCCCATCCAGAGAAAATAAAATGTGAGGAAGGGTGTATGAGCAGCTCAGGCACATACAGGCGTGGATTTGCCTCTGCCACAGCCCTAAGGGCCACTTCTCGATTTATCCTTGCATAGCGGTTAGATGCCCAGACTGTCAGAGACTCACCTGCGTTGGAATCCCAGATCCACCCACCATTCACTGTCTGGGTGACCTCCGGCCAACGACTTAAGCTGTGGACATACCTTTCTTCATTAGTTTTCATTTACAGAAAAATTGCACCAGCCGCATCAATTTATTTCGAGAATAAAATGACACAATGCGCTGAGAACAGTGCCTGGCCCGCAGCAAGGACTGGATAAAGGTTAGCTGCCATTGCGCTCGTTGGTCTGGCGGTGGTTGCTATTGCTATTCGACGTGTAGGTGATAAGAGTCCCGAGGACCCAGGTCCGAAACGGTTTCTTTCTTTCCCGACCTGCTCTCCCATTTCATCCAGACATTACCACCCGGGAAGGAGAGTTAAATCAAGTCATGGGAGGGGGCCTGTTCCCCACAACCTCTGCCCAGGGGACACGGAGAGACGTCATGCTCTCTTTCCGTCCTGTCCCACCGCCGTCAGCCCTTCTCACAGCCCAGTCTCCATCCGCGAAGGCATTCCCAGTGAAATGACAATAGGATCTTAAGGAAAAAAAAAAAAAAAAAAAAAAAAGGAAGGCAAGCACCGGGCGCCAGCATCTTACCGCATCCTCAGTCCCACCGGTTCCCAATTTCTGGACCAGAGACTTGTCGCTCTCCCTCAGCATCTTCTCCCGAACTTTGGTTTCATACTCAGGCCGGGGCTGCCCCTAAAAGCCAGAGTCACAGAGGGGTTAGTAAGCAGGCGGAGGACCACCTTGGCCCGCGGGGTATGGCCAGACACCACGAGGACAGGAAGTCAGGTCACGGGGTCAGATGCTATGGGACAAGGGCTGCCACACTACACACAACCACGAGGCGTCGAGACCAGGGGCACACTACGGCGGGAGAGGGGGACACACACCACTTGTTACCACACTGAAAACCGAACCTGAGCACGTTCCTGGGGGCGGCGCCAGTGTTGAGAAAGGAGAGAGGAAGCATTAACGAGGAGCTGATACAAAAAGGAGCCCCGTGCCACACACAGCAGTTTGCCCAAAGGCCCGGGGGCTACCTCTGGTCATCCCACTATCTGTCCTCAGGTCTCAACTTTAAGTTGCAATGAGCCAAATCCCAGCTGGAGAAACAGATGTGCCCCCCAGCCGGAAGTCAGGGCCAGGACCAAACGTCTTCCCTGCACCATTCCTCTGCAAGCTAAAAACGGCCGCCAGTAAACAGCACAGCTGAAGGTGCCCACAGGGAATCTTAAAACTCACTCGCCTGGACCTGTTTGCTATTCAGCCTTGGTGAGTAACTCACTGGCAAGCACACTGATGCTCAAGAGACAGCACAAGGACACTCAGCGATATAAACCTGGATAGTGAGTCATCAGGCATGGGAAAGGGCGCCTGGCTGATCAGAAAGACCACGGTCCCATCAGTGCAGATGCTGGGGCGGGAAGACGTGTGACTTACTTCAAAGAGAACTTAACAGTGTACACCTGGCGGCACTGATGCGTCTTCCCTGCAGCTTCCAAGGACTAATATCTACCAGTGTGAGGACTTCACATTCCTGCATCATTTACCGAGAACTCCCAGGCAGGGATTCCGGAGCTGGCTCCCAGCAGACACAGAGAACACACATTCCCGCATCACTGCTCAGGCCTCAGAGATTCTCAACGCCAACAAGCTGGGCTCCTGACCTGTCTCTGGCTTTCCCAAGACATGCCATGATGCTGGAGAGGAGAAACTATGCACGTGACTAATAAGAATAACCAGTACAGGGCTTCCCTGGTGGCGCAGTGGTTGAGAGTCCGCCTGCCGATGCAGGCGACACTGGTTTGTGCCCCGGTCCGGGAGGATCCCACATGCCGCGGATGGGCTGGGCCCGTGAGCCATGGCCGCTGAGCCTGCGCGTCCGGAGCCTGTGCTCCGCAACGGGAGAGGCCACAACAGCGAGAGGCCCGCGTACCGCAAAAGAAAAAAAAAAAAAAAAAAAAGACTAACCAGTACAACAGAGGAGGAGCCACTGCAGAGTTCTGAAGGCTCTCCATCATCACCCGGGCTGCATCACCCGGACTGCATCCATGGTGCAGTCCCACCCTCAGAGATGGGACCTTCTCTGCCTGCTGAAACGCAGCTGGTGGAGTCTCCCCCTCTTAAATATTCTGGAGTTTTATAGCTTACATGACACGTAGCTCTTGATTACGTCACCTTCTTTTACTGTTTCCTAGTTGTTTTGCATGTGGGAATCTTTTTATCCTAAGGTAAGAATCCACTACCTGGTCTCCATTATTTTGTTTCTCGCAGTAATTAGCACCGTGGGAAGAACACAGAAATCTCTCACTTCATTTCGTCTCTCCCCTTCACCCATCCTCCAACGCAGCATTTCCTAATGTGTGTGCCAGGAGGCTTTTAGCTAAAAAAGGATTCCAGGGTCTAACAGATTGGAAAATACCATACAATGTGTCACCTGAGAGTCACAAGGAGCCTGATAAAAGCTCTGAGAAGTTCTCCTGTAAAGACACCTGCTGAATCTCCTTCAACCCACCACGTCCCACAAAACTTCTTTCACCTCCAACAATTAACCTCCTGCAGAAATACTTTGAGAAATGTGCTGTGACGTTTTCCTCCATGGCCTCTGAAATCTGGTTGCTTTTCTTCTACGCTATTCCTATGGAAGATTTTAACTATAGAACTAAAGCCGTGTCTTTTTGTACCATCCTCTGGATTCTAAAGCCCTTCAAGCGAGAATTGCGTCTATCCCGTCATCCTCGGCAAAGGAGCTGAGGGGCCTTCCCTGCTGACTGTAAGATGCTCCTGACCCGCCCCTGACTTTCCGAAGACATGACATCACGTAGAGGAGTGTCCTCACATCCCTCTGGTGGTGGCTGTGGCCCACTGCACTGCACTCTGGGCCCCAGCTCAGACCCTCCTCATCTGTTTAGAAGAAGCTGAGAGCTCTTGGCACGCAGACAGGAGTCCGAGGCTCTCAAAGCAGAGTGTCAGGCTGCTCTGCTTTCCAACCGAAGCAGGTCAGACAAGGATCTCACTGCTCACAGCCAAGAAGGTCGGGTGAGGTCACAGGATTCCTCAAAGGCAGGGACCTGGACAAATGAGCTCCTGGCCGGAGCAGAACCTGGACCCCGTGAGGGTTGCTCCAATACACCCAGCCTTAAACACGGCCTCCCTGGATGGAGTCTGATGCCAAATCATCACAAATACATAAGCCCTCCCGCCAAGACTCTGGGAAATATTTTGCAAAGCTACTTTCACCTGGTTGCTCCCCTCAGGAGCTGGACTGAAAGAAGGCCCCAGGCCAGCTCAGGACCGGCCTTCGCTGACCTACAGAGGTAAACCCGGAAATCCAGTCAACAAATGTCTCCAACAAAGAGTTACCAAGAATCTACTGCGTTCCGAGCTCTTGGGAGCTCTTTTTCAGGCTCTGAGGCTACGAACAAGGAGCTTATCTCCAAGTGGAGGAAGGTGACAGTAAGCCAACAAACCCACAAATAAGAAACCAGCAGGTGGGGATGAGAGCAACAGAAGAAAGGTCAGGCTGGCTGCTTCAGGATGGGGATTGGGGGAAGGCCAGCCAGAGGAGGGTCACGTTCCTGTTGGGATGGAAAAGCTAAGAAAGGTCAGGGCAGGTGGAGGCTGGAGCCTTCCAGGCAGAGGGAGGAGCCGGTGCAAAGCTTGGAAGGAGCCCAGGAGAGAATGCAGGCCCGTGAGGCTGGAAGGTCTGGGAGGAGGCGCACACCACCACGCGCTGGGGGGAGGCAAGGGATCTTGCGTCCTATGTGACAGGAAGCTGTCAGGGCAGCTAAGCCCGACGCGGTAGACAGGGGCAGGAGAGAGAGGGACGGAAGGGAGTCTGCATCAAGACCACCCTCTCCGAGGGGTCCCAGGGGCACGCGGGGCCTGAGTGCAGCAGGGAATCGGGCAAGAGAGGCCACTGAGCTGAAGGCCATCCCGTATCAGAGCGAAGACTCCTGAGGTCTGGCAGGCCTCCTTCGACGGCCTTCAAAGGGGTCTCTCGGGCCATGCCAGCCGGTTCCACAGGGAGGCGCTGGGCCAGGCGCTGCTGCCCCGGGAGGGGGGGCTCTCCAGCCCCTTTCTCCTCCTCCCCGCTGTCAGCCCCGCCCCCGCTGCTTTCCTTGGCGCCCCACGTGGTGCGCGCACCCCAGGCGGGAGGGACAGAGGGTGGGTGGCTCTGGCCTCTGGGCGAGTTAGCACCCTCACCCCCACTCCCGAAGGGCTGCTTCCTAGCGAAGACCACAGGGAAGAAAGCTGTCTGAGGGTTACAGACAGCTGGCCGTGGCAGGATCCCTGAGACCTGGAGACAACATCTGGTTAAAACAGAAAAAAAGCGCTCATCATGACCTTCAAGGACCCCTGCAACCTCCTCCCCGGAGCCCAGGTGGTGTCTGCATCCTCTTGCCCCCCGTTTGAATGTGGGTTAAATCTGCCCACAACACTCCATTTAAGGCCTACGACAAGTCACAGATGCCTTCTGATCCTGCCCTCCATGCCGTCCCATGACCTGAGGAGATATAGACCAGCAGTCGGGACCCTCCCTAGCCTAGCCACCAGCCTGCATTTGTTGCTCTGCCCCCAACTGCAGCCCAACCCCTGTTCCCTGCAGCCAACTAGACCTTCCAGGTATCCCGCTGACTCTGAGCCACACCCTGAGCTTCCCTGGATCAAGGCTCCTGTCGGCTGTTTCCTCCTGTGGGTACCCCTTCCTCCCTTTGCTGCTCATTAAAATTCAACCAGTCTTCAAAACCCTGATTTAAAAACAAAACATTTTTTAGACCGGAAGGAATTTCTCTCAAACTCACCGTTGTATTCTAATTATTCAGAGACCAGACAACCCCTTAGTTGAATGCAACCCTTTGGAGATGCTCAGAGACTGTGCCTGAGGGAGTTCCATGTCCCAAACCAAAACCTGGTCCATAGTGGGCGCCTGATGTGCACGTTCAGACTTAACTCAATTTAAAGCGTGCTTAGTGTCTGAGTCCAAAATCTAAATACATGGAAGGAAAGACACAGCTGCCTTCCCTCCTCTCAACCACGCCTGGCCCTGGGCTTGCACACGGGGTGGGGTGGGGGGGGCACATCCTCGATGCTGCAGAACTGACCCGCCCCCAGTAACCTCACACAGAGAGCCCGTCAGGACCAGCTCTTTGCGCCAGGGCTGAACCCAGGCTTGGCCAGGCCTCTCTCTCAGCCTGCGCAGGAGTTACTGAAATCACACCCCTCCCAGGAAGTGACCATGGCTCATCGGGTTAAACAGGAAACAGGAAACCTGGCTGCAGAAACCAGAATGGCTTAGCATCCCACTCCTGCCAGGGACTGAGACTTCAAGGGCACTGAGTCACAACGGATGCCTTTCTCTGTGTGAGCGTGTTTACACTTCCTCTTTCACGGGCAGACCTGCTGGCCTCCTCAGCGCTACTCAGAAGACACACTTAGCTTGTTTCTGTCCCCACACAGGCTTGGATGCCAGGCTGCTGCTGCTTCTCTTCCCTGGAGACCTCCTAGGCCCTGCTGTAGGAGAGGAGGACCTGTGCGCCCACCACCTCCCCACACCCGGCCACAACTCTCTCCTCTCTCCTCTCTCTCTTTCTCCCCAGAATCAAATCGAACCAATAGGACAAAATCACCCACACAGTCCAATTTCGACAGCTCTTTCGATTGGAAGCACTACTTTGGCCGTCTTTCCCCAAGAAATGCAATTGCCTTTATTGTTCTCTGTTGCTTATCTTCCCAGCTAATGTGTATCGTCTCTGAAGTCAGAATTCATATGTACATCCTCTCATTTGCCACGGAATCCGTGATGCTGTGAGCCTCCGGGTATCTGCTTAACGCACGGGACTGGGATGGAGTGAATGTGTGAACTCAATCCATGGTCATGGAATGCCCACCTGCTCAAAGGCAAGCTGACGACTTGGAGCTTCAAGGAGAGGAGAGGACGTCACATCACAGACAAGGGAGCCACAGAGCCTTGAGAACAGGACTAAACTGGGGATTTCACTAGCTTGGTCGCAAAGCATCAGGGTCACAAAGCCAGAGGTCCCGAGTCCCAGGAGAGGAACATCAATGAACGAGGGAGGACACAGAAAAGGTCTGCTCCCCGCGCAGCTGCCATATGCTCTCAGCCAGCCTACGCACATGGTACTCAGGCAACTGGGGGCACCTCCTGGTCCTCTGGACACTGTCCCCAGCATCCCATCGACACTGCCCACAGCATCGGGAGCCCCCTATCCGATATTCACGTTTGCCGTTCAGGCAATGGCAGCGCACGGAAAAAGATAACCGTGAGCAACCAGGCCCACACTGGTCATCGTCGACTCGCCGACATCAAAGCGGGCCCTAGTTCTCAACGGAGCCCCGAGGGAAGGTCAATTTGTTTCATCCTTTAAAATCAGCTGTCCATACAACTAGACTCTGGAAGAACCTACCCTATCCCTTAGCTCACGCTCCTGTTTCACACATGCTCTCCTGGCTGACAGGGTACTGGATCAGTGGTTCTTTCTTCCTCCATATGCATCAGAGCAACTGAGACCTAGCACCCATGCCTCCCCCTGACCCTCAGCAGGCTCACAGAAGCATCCAGACACGTCCGTGCTCTGGGTCACGTTCTCTGGCTTCACGCTCTCGAGCACCAACAGGACGGGAGGTGGAAGAACGCTGAGTTAAACCTCGAGGTCACCACGAGGCTTGCTTCTCATGCCATTTTTTTCCCAGGGAGGGTCACAAGGACATCTGGCTACCCACCAAGTCCAAAGTCTTACAGCTCAAGAGAAGAGAGAGGATTCCAACTCTTGGCCTCAGTGCCCATCAACCCTGGCTTGGCCCATGGAGCCAAGCTAGGAAAGGGGCCACAGCGAGACTCGGCAGGTACAGCTGAAAACCAAGTTTCCCCACGACAAGGAATCACACATCCCAGGAGAGGTCTCGAGGGATTGCAGACCAGTCAGTAAGCTTCAGCTGCTCAATCACAGTAATATCTACCAGACAGATTCATGGGAATGCGGGGTGCAGCATATCAAAGCATGAGTGCGTATTTTGCGCTCCGATCGGTTCAAATGGATTTGGGGTGATCACGAGACGCCGCCTTTTGAGAAGCAGGCACAGAGCCGCCTGGCACCGCCTGGGCCACAAGCTGCAATTTCAGTTTGTTCTCCTGACCCTTCCTGTGAACAGTTCCAGAGCTACACGGCCACAGGTGCCCTGTCCTCCGACTCCCCGCCCCTATTCTGTGGGCTGACACTGCCCACATTCCTGGGCAGTGGTCATTCTCCCTGGGAGAACAGAGTCTCTGCTGGACACCTTCCTCGGTGGCCTGGTCACGTGGGAATCTTTCCAGCTCGCTTCCGTCTCCACCCACGTAGAGGTGCCCGCAGGGGACAGAGGCCACTGGGACCAGTTCTGGCAGCGGTGCTAGAACAGACCTCGCCTCTCTCCTGCTCACACTCCCGGGATGTGTGACTCACGGCCCCGCCCTGGTGTGTCCTCCAGGCCCCCTGGAATCACAGATAAACCTAGCAGCTTCTGCAGCAGGACAGGGGCCCTGCCGGTCTGCAATCCAATGGGAAAGATGAGGGCCTGCACTGGATGGATGAGTGAAAGGCAGGCTGCTACTCCCAATGGGCTGAAACATATCCCCTTGGTCCCTTCCTTAATACCCGTGGGTGTGTCTTCTTAGAAATGTTCAGTGGCCACGGGGTGGTTATTCCAGGTTATCCCAGTTTGTAAGGATAGAAGTGTGTGTGTGTGTACACGTGTGCGTGCGTGTGCTTACAGTCAGGTAGCTGTGGCCAGGAGAAAGTTTATTACCCCAAGACCCTGGGGGAAAGGGAGGAGGAGGAAAATGAAGGAACTATTTGTTCCTTCCTTCACAGATCCCTTTGGTGAGAATATTGAAAACATCCCTCTGGCATTAAGTAAAATCTCTGCAGTCTACACTCGCCTTGTCCCAGGAACTGCACTGAGCGTGGGGGCAAGAGACCAGGTCTGGGCCCACCTTTACCCCCAGCTAACTCCGTGACTGTGGCAGTCACCCCACCACTCTGAGTGTGACACCAAATGACATCTAGGACTTTCCATGTCTTAGGAGATGTACCTGGAGGTGCCTATGAGTGTGTCAGGGGTTTTCAAAGCATGCATGGGTTCAATCTCCAAATAAATCCTACATGAGATTAATACCAGATTCACATTACTCTATCTCTTTAAAAAATATATTTATAAAGCCACGGAGGATATTCTTAGGTCTATTCACATGTATGAGTAAAGGAGAGAAATCTATTGCCCCTAAAATGCTTTTTAAGATATAAGGACCAGGGCTTCCCTGGTGGCGCAGCGGTTGAGAGTCCGCCTGCCGATGCAGGGGACGCGGGTTCGTGCCCCGGTCCGGGAGGATCCCACGTGCCGCGGAGCGGCTGGGCCCGTGAGCCGTGGCCGCTGGGCCTGCGCGTCCGGAGCCTGCGCTCCGCAACGGGAGAGGCCACAGCGGTGAGGGGCCCGCGTACCGCAAAAAAAAAAAAAAAGAGATATAAGGACCAAATACTAAGGAAGTAAACCGACGGATATGGGCTTTAGAGCTTGGTCGCTGTACCCGTTTAAAGGTACCCCCCCCACAGAAGCAAGTCTCATGGTGGCAACTTACCCCACAGAGCCATGAAGATGGAGAAGAGGACAGTGGCAGGGTTGTCAAACAGGTGGCCGGCCTGCGCCGTTCCACAGGCTGAGCTGAGGTTCCAGTAGTCACAGGACTCGTCACACAGGGGACACATGGTGAAGGCATTCTGTTGGTCGCACAACTCTTTGCTGCAGAAGAGAGGCTGCTGGGTCAGGGCGGCTCCAGCAGGCCCCTTCCCAAGCCCATCACCCCCAAAACAGCTCCCACTTCCGAATCCCTGGTTGAGCTTATCAACTCCAACAGCAAGGTGTGTTAGAGAGCTGGAATTGGATTCTTCCCTTCGGAAGTGTTACTCTTATATCTTTTCTTAAAAAATGAATGGGCTACCTTTGGAGATATGGGGCCCCCTGTCACTAAAAGTGGCCCAACAGAAAGTTAATGACCATCTTTCAGAGATGCTGTTCATTGGACAATGCCACATAAAGTCCATTCAAAATGTGCTGAGTCTATGGGGCTGGTGGAGCGCATCAACAATTGTGACTAAATCACCCATCGGAGGCTAGATTCCATTGCTCTCATTCAAGCATGGGCTGTCTCATCAGTGAGTAAGGCTGGTCACACAGAGGAACAAACACGAGTGTGCAGCTGAACAAACACAACTCCTTCCTCTGGAAGGAGAAGCCATGTGAAAAAGAATGGAGTCAGGTGGCTGGAAGCCCATTTCTAAGTGCATCAGCCATGTGACCGTTTGTAGAAAGGGAATTAGTAACCTCAACTTAGTAAGAATTATCATAGACCTAGAGAACAAATGTACGGATACCAAGGGGGAAAGCGGGGGTGGGATGAGTTGGGAGATTAGGATTGACATATATACACTATTGATATTATGTATAAAACAGATAACTAATGAGAACCTGCTGTATGGCACAGGGAACTCTACTCAATGCTCTGTGGTGACCTAAATGGAAAGGAAATCCAAGGAAGAGGGGATATATGTGCACATATAACTGATTCACTTTGCCGTACAGCAAGAACTAACACAACACTGTAAAGCAGCTATACTCCAATAAAAATTCTAAAAAATAAAAAAAAAATTTTTAAAGCAAAAAGAAAAAAAAAAAAAGAATTATCGTAACCATGAAATGGGATGAGGGAGGCCAGAAGAAGAAGGTAAATCCTTCCAAAGTCTAGATTCCAAGATACCTGGAGAACGAAGAGCCAGTCAAATAACCATCACCGATATTCTTACCTATTTTCAGTGTATTTCTATCACGGGACTCAGGAATACATTTGAAATTCCATTCATTCCTTAGGTAATTAGCTCATCAGAGTGCTTGCAAATAAGAACCGAAGTATTCTCGGCCCTAACTGGCTTCCCCAGTAACCCTCCACACTACACTCTGGTAGGAAAATGAATGAACTCATCACTCTGGTGTGTAATATTCCCCCTGGGGGATGGGTAAATGACCGAGGCCGTGGTTTTGGGGAAAAGGGTGGAGAACTGGCAATTTCATGCAAATGAAGCACTGGCCGTTCTCACAGAGCCAGTGATGGGGCCGCAGGGGATCCCAGGCTGAAACCACAGCTGGGTTTCCTCCGGAAACAGGCAGCAGAGGGCGCTACCGAGCACGGTACAGTCGGAGGCCGCTGCCGGCGGAGGGAGCTGGTACCTGGGTGCTGAAGCCCGGGATTAGATGAAACCCAGGAGCCGGCAGGATGCCTGCGTCTAGCTCCCCATCGCTAAGCAGTGGAAAGGTTTCACCGAGGGCTTGTCACTGTCAAGTCCCAGCTTTCAGGCTTGTTTTTAATGAGCCACGGCAGGGAAGGCCTTCTGTGTGAGAGAATGGAAACTCTACGTCTCCGAGGATAAATCCCAGTTCCTCCACTGACTTGCCGCTAGGCTTTCCACTGGCAAGTGTCAGGAGCGGCGACTCGCTCACATAGACAATATTAAATAGTAATTTCTTAATAATAAGTTCAGCCGTGCTAGCTTCACCTGGGCATGCGCTTGTTGGTAACCGGAGAGTAATGTTCATTTTAAGTCTTCTGGGTCAGACACAGGCTGGCTGCCTGATGGAGGAGTTGCTGCTTTTGGAGAGCAGAGCACCTCTTAGAAAACAGACTCACGTGGAAAACAGCGGGTCTGCACAAAGTCTAGTAAAGAGCTTTGCTTCTAAGCCATTTCTGAGAAGACATGAGTCCTTCTCATATCTTTGCTGCGGAGGGTTTTTTTTTTTTTTTTTTACACATAGAAGGGGGTAGAATCCTAGAACACCTAATCTCAATCAAAGCTAGTTAATGCTGGGCTTCCCTGGTGGCGCAGTGGTTGAGAGTCCGCCTGCCGATGCAGGGGACACGGGGTCGTGCTCCGGTCCGGGAAGATCCCCACATGCCGCGGAGCGGCTGGGCCCGTGAGCCATGGCCACTGAGCCTGCGCGTCCCGAGCCTGTGCTCCGGCAACGGGGGAGGCCACAACAGTGAGAGGCCCGCGTACAGCACAAAAAATAAAATAAAATAAAATAAAATAGTCAGTGCTAAAAGGTCAGGAGTAAAAAAGCATTAGCCACCAACTTGGCACACTTTGAAACTTAAGGGCTGTGTACATTACTGGTTTTAAAATTAGACCACAGTCAACTGCCAATCATTTGTACAAAATGGCAGCCATGGTACATGGATACTCATCACATCTTTTAAGTTTGAAGTCAGAATGCTCTACGTGTACTGGGTTGGGGTTTTTTGTTTCATCTTTTGGGTTTTTTGATGCAAGCAATTTGAACAGAATTCTGGAGAAATTCTGCCTCAGGATGACATTAAAAGGACTCTGTTGTCTCTGAAAGAGGCTGCCTCTAGACAAGCTGAAAGATGGGAGAACCTCCCCTAGAACTGAAGTCAGGTCTGGGTCATTTGCTAGCTGCATTCACCACAGATTCCTAGTTCGAAGTAACAGTGGCTATAAATGCAATGGTGTATTTCTTCAGTCTATCATTTTCTCTACGAAGCAGAAGAAGGTTGATGAATGGGCTGACCATCAGGTGAACCAAGACCCCAGAGTGGGCGGTGTCCTCAATGAGTGACCCACTGCTCACAGGTCAGGTGACACAGGGCTGTACTAGCCACAAAGGGAGGCAATTATTCAGGAAATTCAGACAGAACATCTGCTATTAAGGTCTCAGGTCTAAACTAACCAATTTTTGAAAATATGGCTTAGATTAATTAGCTTTAAAAAAATGCTCCAGTCTTTCCTAGGCGTGTAAGCAAATGGAGAACCAAGGCAACCAACCCCTTGCTAAGTCAAGGAAGGTTCTATAGATGTACCGTGCACATATGGAATTATTATTATTTACAAGTGACGCTTGTGTCTCACATATCAAAGTTCTGGGCGATAAAAGGTACCATTTAAAGTTCCACGTGATGTAAATTTTCTGGTTTAGATGCTGCACTGTAGTTACATAAGACATAATCACTGGCGGAAACTGGATGAAGGGTGCCCTGGGCTCTCTGCACTACCCTTACCACTTCCTGTGAATCTATACTGTTTTCAAGATAAAGCATTTTTTAAAGTGATACACAGATACTAAATTCCAGGCTTAATGCCAAAATTAGAAACCTTTAAAATAACCCCAGGAAGAGTGCAAGTTTTTAATCACGCTTAGGAGTGGCTGACAGACACAGACCCTAGAAGAGTACGAATTCGTTTGGATTCAGTATTGGGACTTAAGAGGCTATTCCTCTGTTAAGGAGGATTGGTAGTCTGTGAGTTTTTGCCAGGTGTAGAGCTTGGACTTTTGACAGACATACAATTATGATTAAGAAGCAGATCTCAAAAACGTCTTCACAGTGTGCTTAAGTTTTTCTATTTCCACCTTCCTGATTCGCCCCACCCTACTCTGAAAAACTGGCAACCAAACTTTCCAATTTTATAACAGCCAATTTCAAATTTTTTTCTTATAGAACGTTAAAAAAAAACAGTTTAAAAAAAATTTACCACAGATTCCAGTATGCGAGTATATACGTACCCGCTCCCCACAAAAACACTTAAATCACTAAATTAACCATCACGAAACAATTCTGACACCTCCTTCTCATGATGACGAATATTATGTTTCATTCTACTCTGTCCTACCTTATTCCAGTTCATTTAAAAGGTAACGATTACATTGATTCTATAATCCATTAACGGGCTGCTATCCACAGTTCGTAAAACGTCACACGCTCCAGGATGTCTGCAATGATAATGATCACATTTTACACGCATCTAAGCCCGCACGTACGTGAGTGTCCGTGCATGCGCATAGATAAATGACTTTGCAGCTTGTGTAGACCATGGTCATTTCCAGCCGCGGTGGTCACCGTCACATGCGTTCCCGTGTGGGGGACCAGGGCGCAAGTTCTAAGTCCTGATGTAAACCAGCACACAGATGCCCCACCCGCTGCGCTGAGTTGGTTCGAGGTGCGTGGTATGGAGTCCTCAGCTTGGATCAACCTGAGGCCCGGCTCCCCAGGGATCACAACCTGGCAACTGAGCCGTTTTTTTCTTTTCTTTTTCCTGAGACTGAACCAGGTGGGGCCGGTTGGAGCAACTGGGCTGCAGGGGAGGGTAAGAGCCCTCAGGAAGACTGCACCGCTTACTGGAGAAAGCAGAGACCTTGGAGCAGGTGGAACTCAAATCCCAACCCGGACAACTATCAATTCTGAAGTTGGACAAGTGACCTCAGGTAGCGTCCATGTCTCCATCTCTCTGAGGTGAGAATACCTATTGTGGACAACACTGATCGCTACAGGATCAAAGAAACAGCACACGGAAACCACCTAGCTCCATGCCCGGTACAACTAAGACCAGGAATTTGGTAAGTACTCGCTCTTCCCTCGTGCTGCGCGAGGCAGAGCCCGGAAAACATAGGTGCTGTGACAAAGGTCCCAGAATGCCAGTCCCGAAGCCTGAACTGATGACACCACAGTTTCTATACACAGACATATCCAAACGCTTGTCTCTCATACCAAGGTATTGAGCTTTATTCTAACTACTGACACGGCCATCTCCAGGGTCCCTAACCTGCAAGAGCTTTTCTATAGAGTGACATAATGGAAGATCACCTGTCCTGCCACTGGTGGATACGCTTTCCTCAAAGAGCACGGCTCTTGCCCATTTCTTCAGGCTGGCCCCGACATTCCCCCATCCCTAACCCCAGCTGTCGTGGACACCCGCAGGCTGCCCAGTGTCCCCATCCCCCGGGCTACTGAGGGAGCAGCCCTGCTGGCACAGTGTCATCCTGCCCCCAAAAGCCACGACTGGTTGACCCAGAGCCTCGACCTAACGCCAAAAGGAGTCAACAAGACCTCTTCACTTGGGACCAATCGAGTATAAAGCTCTCAGGTATGACGCCCACGAGCTGCAGGCAGCAGTGTTTACATGCAAATGGAGAAACTCTGCAGTGAAACAAATAAATACTACAAGCAATCAGAGACAGACAGTAAACAGAAGGGGTCCCTATTTCCATAGTGCCTTGGGCTAGCCACGTGCCTGCCACTGGGTCCCCTGAGGGCCCCCCCCCGAAACCCTGAGGATAAATTCCCTTTTTCTGCGTGCATGAGTTCACACGCATTTCTATCACTTGCAACTGGAAGAGTATTAAAATATACAAATGAGGGAATTCCCTGGCAGTCCAGTGGTTAAGACTCCCCGCTTCCACTGCAGGCGGCCGGGGTTCAGTCCCTGGTCGGGGAACTAAGATCCCGCATGGCTCGAGGCATGGCCAAAAAAAAAGTAAAATGCATAAAGAATGCTTCCGTTTGCAAAGCCAGTTCTGGAGATGGCAAGAGATTTAAATCCTAAATATTGGCTAAGTGTCTCAAACTCTATTTCCACATATATTGATTCAATCAACAATAATTTATTAATACTTTGCTGTGTGCCAGACGCTGTCCACTTTAGTCCCCACGACACCACCATGAAGTAGGTGTTATTATGCCCATTTCGCAGCCAAGGAAACCAAGAGTCAGGGAGTGAGGGAGCAAGTCACATAGCTACTATGTAACACATTCAGTCCTAAAGGATGCTCTTTTTAAGTCCCTATTTTCTTTGTAGGATCTCTCTTCTCCATCAGGATCAACCTTTGCTCCATGCCTTAGATCCCCAGGAGCCCCTCTACGGGGCCTGTCACCTCCTGCAGTCTCTGACATCCTGAGCCAGAGCTGAGGCTTCCTCAGCTCCAGAGCTGCCTGCTTCTGCACACAGCCTCACAGCTTTTTTATCCCAGCAGCGTTTGACCACATAGATGCCGTCTCTACCCAATACCACTCAACACTTCCTGCCTTGGGTCATCTGGGAAACCAAAGGGAAAAAGTCATGAAATTGAGGGGGGAAAAAAAGCTTATCTCAGGCATGATTTCTTTTTCATCAGTTTTCAGACCCTGCCCAATCAGACCCTGGTCCTGGAGAAGAGCTTGTCCAGGAAAGGAAGTGGCCACACCCAGCGTGGCTCTGAGCTGTTCCCAGAGTCTGTCGCTCCCAGACCTCTCAAGAGGGAAGTGACAAGTGACCTGCTGCGTGGGAAGGAAAGCGGGAAGGAGACGGACAAAGGGTGAGGCTTTGGAAGGAGGCGCCTGAAATGTACAACGTACTCGCAACTGGGGTGAAACGCCAAGCGACCGACACGTGAGAACTGAGCCTTTTCCGTTAAAACCAACTCACCTGGGAATATCTTCTTCGATCGTTGCACATCCATAAAGAAACACGATGACCCCGATGACGGATGATGGGACAATGATGGGACGGATGATGGTACTTTGCCCAGCCAGGCAAAGTACAGTCCAATTTTTTCGCCAAAATACTTTCTGTAAAAGGAAGAAAACAAAACATACTGAGAAGCCCATAGAGTTTCCTTCTTTCTGTTTGCTCCAAACCTGAGAATGGGTTGAAAAAAAATGGAAAGGGACAGAAGTTACATGGGGAACAGGAGACCTCAGCACAAGGAATCAACAACTGGTCTTTTCTGAAATGAATCACATTCCATTAGAATCACATATACACACCTGTCCTGGCTGTTCGTGTAAAGTAGCTGCAAGAAGGAATCCAGCACTAACAGCAAACCGAAAAAAACGCCATACATTTTGGCATCTGTACCAGACAAACATGAATAACATATCGGCATTTCATGAATGCCATAGTACTCAACCCACAGAAAAACACACCTTTTTGAAACTAGCTTATTTAAACAAAACACACAAATTTGGGGGCATGTATACTGATATATAACAGACCAACAAAGATACACTCATAGAAAAATGACTAGAAGAAATTCGATAAAATATGAGTCATGGTTTCTTTAGCTGATGGGATTATGGGTGGTTTTTATTTCTTTTTTTTTTTTTTTTATCTTTCTGCATGTTTTAACTCTCTATTTTGTTCATGAATTGCTTTTAAAATAAAAAATGATTTCTTTTAAAAAGAAAACGTACTAACCCATACCTTTTTGTTCCCCACTTCATAAAGTTAGTAAATGACCACATAAAGCCTCTAAAAAGGGGTTTTCCTTTTCCCTTAGATGAATATTGATTATGGATGCCTGATGAGAAAAATACAACCCACAGAGGAGACGTATATTCTATTTCTCACGAGCCTCTGATATAAACCACAGGAGGGAAATGGGAACCCGGCCCACCCGTTGACGGAAGGACTGGAGAATAAGAGCAACAAATAAAATCTATGCATCCACCACCAGAATGCTGCTTCCACTTAGGATAAAGACACTGCCAGGAAATGTAGCTTCCACCCTAACAACAAAAATCTGTTAAATCAAAACTTTTCGTGAGGGCTTCCCTGGTGGCGCAGTGGTTGAGAGTCTGCCTGCCGATGCGGGGGACACGGGTTTGTGCCCCGGTCTGGGAAGATCCCACATGCCGCGGAGCGGCTGGGCCCATGAGCCATGGCCGCTGAGCCTGCGCGTCCAGAGCCTGTGCTCCACAACGGAAGAGGTCAAAAAAAAAAAAAAAAAAAAAAAAGCAAATACATTAATGATTACATTAAATATAAATGTACAAGAAACCCACTTAAAATATAAAGGCATATATAGAAAAAACGTAAAGGACTGGAAAAAGATATACCATGTCAACACTAATCAAAAGAAAGCTGATACAAACAAAATAATCTTCAGAACAAAGAACATTACCAGATATAAAAAGGGACATCAAACAATGATAAAATGGTCACTTCATTAAGAAGGCCTAATAATCCAAAACACATACAGTAAAATACATGTGTCAAATGCATAGATCAAAATGCATGCAATAAAAACTGACAGAACTGAAAGGCTAAACAGACAAATCCTCCAGTATAAATTAGAGATTTCAACACTTCCCTTCAGTAGTTGACAGACCAAGTACGAAAAAGCAGTAAGGATACAGAAGACACTTCAAACCAACTTGACTGAATTGACATTTATACAACACTCCACCAAACAACGACAGAAAATACATTCTTTGCAACACACATTCACTAAGATAGACCATATTGTGAATCATTAAGGAAATCTAATAAATTTAAAATAACTGAAATAATAAAAATGTTGTACCGTGAGCACAACTGAATTAAACTAGAAATCAACAGCAGAAAGCTGTCTGGAAAAATCCCCAAATATTTGGAAATTAAACAATATCCTTCTACATAACCCATGGGTCAAAGAAGAAGTCACAAAGAAAATTAGAAAATACTTTTGACCGAGAAAATAAAAACACACATATCAAAATTCGTGGAATGCCATCATACTTAGACTGCCAGTAATACTTAGAGAGAAATTTATAGCATTGAATACTTGGTATTAAAATAAGAAAGTTTTCGTTTTAAGTTCATCTAGAATTTCTTTTATTCAAGTATAGCTGATTTACAATGTTGTGTTACTTTCAGGTGTGCGGCAAAGTAATTCAGTTATACATATACGTATATTCATTCTAAAAAAAGAAAGCTTTAAATCAATCATCTAAGCTTGCACTTTAAGTAGAAAAAGAACAAATTAAATCCAAAGCAAACAGAAGGAAGGAAATAATAAAGGGGGGAACAGAAATAAATGAAATTGAAAAGAGAAAAGTCAATGAAACCAAGAGCTGGTTGTTTGAAAGGATCAATGAAACTGATAAATATGTAGTCAGACTGGTCAAGAAAATAAAGGATAAAACACAAATTACCAATCTTGGGGGAGAAAAAGAGACACCACTACAGCCCTTATCTTCCGTGTTAGTGAATGTGATAATACGAGTTGTTTTTTCAAGGGTGTTCACCCCACCTTCTCCACTAGTCCATTACCCACCTCCAGCAGAAGAGAGGGGAAGAGAGAAGGGAGGAGACAGATGAGACATAATAAACACAAACTGCCTGGTGCTTTCATCCTGATTGTCTTGTTTCACCTCATTTTTCATTCTCCCAACATCTTTTCCAGGTGAGAACACTGACACTCCCTGGACACACAGACTTGTCTAAGGTCACGTGGCCAGCGCCTGACAGAGCAAGAATTTGATCTTTTGGCACCTGACCCCTCTGTGTCTGGTGCTTGTGCCAACGTAACAACAGCAGCAACGGTAACTGATGTTTATTGGGGGCTGATTATTTGCCAAAAAGCTCCATTCTAAGAAGATTATAAATATTCTTATTTTTTAGTCCTCACAACCCTCAGGGGTAGTATGTTATTATCCTCAAATTATAGATGAGGAAACTGAAGCACAAAAAGTTGACTAACCCAAGGTCACACAGCCAGTTAAGAAGCAAAGACAAGATTCAAATTCAGTGAGTCTAACTTTGAGATTCCAGCTCTTAATGTCCACCTTATACTGACTTCTAGGAGGAATTTCGAGAAGGAAAGGAAATGGATGAGCAGGAGACATGCCCAGGGCAAATTTGCTAAGTTCTAAAAGAACTACACCTAGCTACCCATCCATCCCCCATCCCCCGCAATGTCTTCACGCTTTTTTCCAGCTCTGAAGCTTTCCCATCACAGCATCCCATCCGAGGCATCCAGCCACTCAGAGACGTAAGATTTCCCTGACCACTCTCCTAACCTGTACTGTCTACAAATCTTCTCTACCATTGCCTCTTAGGCTGTTGCTTAAGGAGCCGATCTGATGAATTAAATCCTACTGGGACACTTTATCACTTCTTCCAGGAAAATGTTTGCATTCCAAGCTTTATGGAGATACAACGCCTTCACCTCTTAAAGGAAGGGGTAGAATATTTTGAGGGGTTCTTCTAACTGCCCCGCATAGGCAGCAGACTACTCTGTTTACCCATAAAAACGCTACTGGCTGGAGCGGGGGACAGAGAGCCTGAGCACAGAGCCCAGATACCTGGGAAAGGGAGACAGGAAGGTCAGAATGCATGAAGGTAAGAACAGATGAAACAGAGAAGGATGAAGAGCCAATTATGTCACTTAAGGGAAACAGGACAGCAGGGCTCAAATCTCAGATGCCCCCAGGAGCCAGGCAGGAAACACGAATGATTGAAGCAGGCCAGGCAGGACCAACCAAAGCATCTCCAGCGAAAAACTAGAGGGCTCATGTCCATCTATGGGGAGCAGTAGGTACTCATCTCCAGCAGCCCAGGGTGACATGTGGGAAGATGAGACCAGTATTACCAGATCTTACAATTTTCTAAAAAAAAAAAAAAAAAAAAAAGCTGGGAAACTGTATTTCTCCTAATTGTTAAATGTTGGCAACTAATTTAACTGAGAAACAATGTACAACCCAAACGAAAGGCACTGGAGGATTGAACAGTGCCCGTGGATATTAGCTGGTACCTTCTGTGGGACAGCAGAGATCACAGGACACAGGCTCTGGAGTGGGAAGGGCTGGACAAGAACCTGGCCTCTGCTGTTTCCTAACTTGGGAAAGTCTCTTAGCTTCTCTAAGCTTCATTTTTCCCATTTGAAAAATATGTCAATGTGAAAGTTAAATGAGCAAGGTGTACGAGGACACAAGTCAGCAAGCAATAAACATTAACTGTTGTACCGGATATTACTCTAAAAATTGATGTGTACTCTACTACATTAAAATGAAGAACCTCTATTCATCAAAAGACACTAGTGAGTGAGTGAATAAACAAAACAGAGAATGGGAAAAATACTGACATACATACGTCCCACAGTGGACTTGGATCTGGAAAACACGAAAAACTTCCAAAGCTCAGTAAGAATTAGGCAGACAATCCAACAGAAAAATGGGCAAAAGACTTGAAGGAATACTTGGTTTAAAAAAAGGTACCCAAGTGACCAATAGGCATATGAAAAGGTGTTCAGCTTCCCTAAGCATCAGATCATCAGGGAAATGCAGATGAAATCGCAATGCAATACCTCTGCACACTCGTGGGAATGGCAAGAACGAAAAAGAGGGGAAATGCCAGTGTTGGAATTCCTCCACATTTTTCCAAACGCTCACATGGTGCTGGTGGGATGTGCACAGGTGGGGCCTCTTTGGCAGGTGGCTTGGCAGTGTCTGCCAGAGCTGAGCACGGCCAGCCCCTGTGACCCTACTGCTACTGCTCTGCTCCTCAGTACCTGCCCGACACAGATGGGAATCTGTGAGCTGAAAGACGCACCAAGAAAAGTTCACAGCAGCACTGTTCACGATACCCCGCAAACCGGGAGCTACCCAGATGGCTATAAGCAACAGAATGCATGAATACGTTCTGATATGTTTGCCCAACAGAATATTATACAGCAAGGAGAATGAACAAAACACAAAAACACACAACAATATGGACAAGTCTCACACCTATCATCTGAACAAAAGAAGCCAGGCACAAAAGAATTATTGTACAGTACGATTCTATTTCTATAAAGTTCAAAAACAAA